ATCTGCACTTTCATATATCCTTATCTTTGCCAATTAAGATGGAAAGGAGTGAGACCATTAGAACCCTACTTTAAAAGATTTCAAACCAGATTTCATTTCCTGTTCTGTGTGCACGTTCAGGATATAGGGGAAAACAAAACAATATCTTTTCCCTGCCTGTCACAAGGTTTATAACTGACACCCTTATACAAAAGACAGACAGATTCACAAAAGGATATCATGACAAATTTATTTAACCCAAGTTTTATGTCAAATGAGAGCCTTCAGAAATGAAGACCTAAAGATCCAAGAATTTTTATCCTTAGGCATCTGTTTCATAAGTCAATGATACTTTTATCCTTAGGATCTGAGAAGAATGGACAGTATGCTTGGACAAAAATTAAGTGTGATCTAATGGAATTAAAGGAAGCGGGGCACTTAGCAAGGTTGGTTTGTTCAGATTCTTCTTGGCCTGAAGCTATGGGGCAGAACCCCTCTAAAATTAGAGTCTTATGATCTTCTTTCAGGCAGAGTAAGTCAGAGAATTTCTTTATGGCTATAATTCAGGATAGAAAGGTGGGAGAAGGTCAGAGTGGCCTCCTGGCTACTGCAGTTTTTTCAATTGCCAACTTGACATATTTTGGAGTATTATATTCAGAGCCCTGATATTGGCAGAGAACCAATAAACCCACAAGCTATGGGGAGGACCAAGAAGCAACAGGGTGGAAATAAAGAGCCCTGTGCATCTAACTCACACAACCACAGTACTAATCCATATTTGTAAAAAGGCAAATGGAGAGAGTCCTGAGGACAACTGTCAGTCACTAGTTAAACAGGGCTCAGTCTGAATTTAGTGGAGTGCAGATTTAAAATGGGTTTTTTCCCCAATTATTCCTTTTATGCTCTGAAGAATACTCATTTTCAGTCCTTAATGTTATTTAGCACTGATTTTATAGCTTTGTAATAACTTTTAGTTATTGAAAATTCTTTTTATTTTATTTTATTTTTTATGTTTGCAATGGAGTCTCTCTCTGTCACGCAGGCTGGAGTGCAGTGGCGCGACCTTGGCTCACTGCAACCTCTGCCTCCCGGGTTCAAGTGATTCTCCTCCCTCAGCCTCCCAAGTAGCTGGGATTATAGGCACCTGCCACCATGCCCAGCTAATTTTTTGTATTTTTTAAATTTTAGTAGAGACGAGGTTTCACCATGTTAGTTAGGCTGGTTTCAAACTCCTGACCTCAGGTGATTGGCCCACCTGGGCCTCCCAAGGTCCAGGCGTGAGGAACCATGCCCAGCCATTAGAGAAAACTCTAATGTCCACTGTAAAGCCTTGATTTTTGTAGGCACATATCGCTCACATTCTCTTCTCTCCCTAGGCCCATGATGAAAGAGGAGCTTGGAATGAAAGAGGGCAGGGGTTTGTGGGTTGCCTTCCCCAGTGGGTAGGGTCAAATAGGAAGGCTAGAAAAATGGCAGGTCTTTTGTGGTAAGTTTGATGATGGCTTGCCGTTGTAGGCTCCATATGGTTCCACTTGCTATTGGTGGCCTTACCCAGGTGATTATTTTCCATACATAGTTTTATTGTTTTCTTCAAACTGTGCTCAGCTTCAACCTTTATTTCTTCTCTTTTCCAAGGGCCTTTTTGGAGAGGGAGATCTTAGTCTCTATTTCACCCAACTGCCTTTCTCAAAGTGTGCCTCCTTGCTGATCTGCCATACTGTTAGTCCCATAGCTCATTCTTTCTTTTCTATGTTCCATGCTCTATAGATCCCAGAAATGACTGTGGTCTTGTCCAGATGCTATTAAAGACCACTTCCTCCAGGTTCACTGCATCACTGGACCTATCAATTCTGCTGAAACAACCTGTACAATAAACCCCAATCATAGCTTCAGAATTCACTAGATTGGGAGCGGACTCTCTTTTCCTAGGGTCATGTAGCTCTCTGAACACATTCTTCTCTGTTCTAAAGGCAGCACCAGGCTAGCGTGCTAATTTGCTGTGCAACTATCCAGCCGGGAGAGAAATGCCAGTCTCTTCTTCATTCCGTTAGCTCCTTTGTTTGGGTGAAGGAGGAAAGAAGCTCTTCATTTATGCATATTCCATAGGAAGGGACGGAAAAGCCTCTTTACCAAACACCTTGTGTTCCTCACAATAAAGAGAAGACCTTAAATTCCTTCTCATGTATAACAAGTCATGTGTCATTTCTTCTGAAATTGGAGCACCTTTTACAAAAGCCTGGTCATGGAATGAATGTTGAGTACTCTAGTAAATCATGTCTGAGAGAGAAAGAGATTTGTGTGATCTTAGTTAAATAGATTTCATAGCCACCTCGGCCTCCCAAAATGCTGGGACTACAGGCGTGAGCCACCGCGCCTGGCCACTAAAATATATTTTTACCATATTAGTGATACATGTTCTTTAGGAACGTGGCACCATCTCTCTCTGTTTCCACTGCCACCATCCTTGCCCTAATCCCCAGCATCTCTTGTCTGTCAACTCAATAGAATCTTAATTGTCTTTCTGCTTTCACTGTTGTTTCCTAAGAACGTGTATCACTAATACACTAAAATTACATAATTCATAATTTTACCATGACAAAAATATAAAATACATATTAGAGATACAAATGTATTATATATAAAATATAAAACATAGATTAAATATATATTTTATATTATTTAATGGTAAAAGGAAACAATGAGATATCTAGGATGTAGATATTAAGCAATTGACTTTTTGTTGTGTTTTATAAATTTTTAAAGCTATTTGAAAGATAGACGACTTTAGAGGGTATTATGCAAAGATAGGCATAATCTAGTAATGAGAAACATGATTAATATTTCAGGAGAAAAGCAAGGGGAATGACTAAATTAGTGACATCTTTAACAAAGGTACAAGGGATATAATAAGGCATATAATGGGGGGCTGAAAAAGAAGTATTGATTTATCTTTGATAGGATAGGGATTAATTGCCTCCATTTTAACAGGAAGGAAGAATGTAAAAATATGCATAATGACAAGAAGGTTCATATATTTCATGAAGCTAGAAAGATGAAGTTATCAATCAATGAAATACTTTGATTATTTAAGAATGATCGAGGAAGGTTTCTATTCTTCTCTCATATTCATCTGTATTTCAGTATTTGTTGGACCTATTTTTCTGCTAGCATCACACTAATTGCTTCAAAGAGAATAAAATACCTAGGAATCCAACTTACAAGGGATGTAAAGGACCTCTTCAAGGAGAACTACAAACCACTGCTCAGTGAAATAAAAGAGGACACAAACAAATGGAAGAACATACCATGCTCATGGATAGGAAGAATCAATATCGTGAAAATGGCCATACTGCCCAAGGTTATTTATAGATTCAATGCCATCCCCATCAAGCTACCAATAAGTTTCTTCACAGAATTGGAAAAAACTGCTTTAAAGTTCATATGGAACCAAAAAAGAGCACTGTTTTAAAATTATAAAATAAAAAAAGAAGAGATTTACATGAAATGCACAAACCATTATTGATTATTATGACATTATTTATCATCTTTTATCTTCTGATAAAAAAGTGAATGTATCTTACTGCTACCCAAGTCCAATAGCAGCTCTCTTCTAAGCTAAATGTTGTCTGAAGGGCCAGGTGGAAGGATATTTTTCTTTTTTCTTTCTTTCTCTTTTTTTTTTTTCTTTTCTTTTTTTTTTTTTTTTTTTTTTTGAGATAGAATTTTGTTCTTGTCACCCAGGCTGGAGTGCAATGGCGCATGATCTTGGCTCACTGCAACCTCTGCCTCCTGAGTTCAAGCGATTCTCTTGCCTTAGCCTCCTGAGTAGCTGGGATTACAGGTGTGTGCCACCACATCCGGCTAATTTTTGTATTTTTAGTAGAGACAGGGTTTTCCCATGTTGGCCAGGCTGGTCTTAAACTCCTGACCTCACGTGATCCACCCACCTCAGCCTCCCAAAGTGGTGGGATTACAGGTGTGAACCACCGCACCTGGCCAGAAATGGCCAGAAAGATATTTTTCTTTCAAAAAAAGTCACTCTGCTTAAATCATATGTATCAAATAAAAACAATGTTAGTTACAATATAAAACCATGTCTTCCAAATTTTGTAGAGCAGTAACTATGACTTCTATTTATTGTGACAAGAAAACATGTAGCATATATATAAGAAATATATATATGCACACTTGTATGTATAGTACTGTGTGTGTAAACACATATATAGAGAGAAACAGTATACATTATGGCTATACAATGTAATTTCATAGAAATAAGTATTTTATGGATAGTTTACATAATACTTAGCCTCAAATACACAGTGAATTCTAGGATACTAAGAAATATATGGTATATTTTCTAAGAATTTATAGTTTTAAAGGAGTGATAAGGAAGTGAATAATTGTATTCAGTCCTTCAGTAAAAAATGCTTAAAATACAAAAGGTACACATTACTAAATCTATCCCCCAGAGCTTTCTAGAAGAAATGATCTTGGTGAAGATGAGTTTTGAAGGATATGTAGATGCTGAGCACCTATAAAGGTGTCCTAACACATCTTAATAATAAATCCAAAGCCTGAAGATGCAAGGTATAGGAACAGCTTAGAATTAACGGTCATTTATAATTCCAGGTGGATAGAGAATAACTGATTTTTCTCCAAATCAAATTTAGTTTTTGACAACAGCATACAACATGTACAAATTCATTAATAGCAGATTTGAGTAACAAATCTACTAACTAGCAATTAGGTTAACTACTAGAAACTAGAAATTAGGTATTCTAATAAAGAGATATGAATTAATTATATCTTACCTCCATAATTCCAATGCTTCAAGTATTTTAATATATCAAGATCTTCCAAATTCGCATCCTTTGCCAAAAGTAAGTATAGTGTACTAGTTCTAAATTTTGCGTCAGATATTTGCTTGAAACATGTAAGATCTGAAGATTTGGCCTAAGTTTCAGTTGCTTCATCTCATTCAATATTATTGCATTATTTACAATGATTGTTCCTTTTCCCAGATTTGGCAATGTGGAGGCTCCTTGGAGATTGTTACTTGCTCCCATGTTGGTCATGTTTTTCGGAAGGCGACTCCATACACTTTTCCTGGTGGCACTGGTCATGTCATCAACAAGAACAACAGGAGACTGGCAGAAGTTTGGATGGATGAATTTAAAGATTTCTTCTACATCATATCCCCAGGTACACAATTCTGACATTTTTCTTTCTCTACAGGAGAAAATAAAATTGAAACATACTGAACATGTGTTTCATTATTGCTGTTATTCTACTAGTTAAAATATTGTTTATTACCATAATATTGAAGAAAAGTGTATATGAGACAATTGTACTATGAAGTAAATTTTGATGTAAAATAAGAACTATATTTCAAACACCTAAATACTATCTTTTTTGTCTCAACCTGAGTATTATGTTGGAAAAATGGAGCAAGCTGTACAGAGAGATCTATATTTATTATTAACTCAAATTAAGAATATTTTAAAAAATATCTTAGTAGGGGAAGGTTAAATGACCTCATACAGAAACAAGATAGAAAATTAGGCAGATATTCAAATTTATATTTCTGAAGAACATAGTAAATTATTCATCAATAAATATGTGTGGAAAATAATATAAGACTAAAATGTTTTCATACTTTAGTTACAGAGAAGTATATGTATTGAAATAGAAGTAAATATAGGCTATCAGTGGGTGGTAAGATTATGGGTAATTCTTTTCCTTATTTTTATATATTTTCTAAATTCTCTCAATATTCATACATTACTTATTTTAAGAATTGAAAGTCATTAAAAAGGAAAAAATGAGAAAATCCTATTATTGGGTGGTGGGATTATTAGTAATTACATTCTTTATAGTTTTCTAGATATCTGCAATAGCCACATTACAAAAAGAAAAAGAAAAAAAAAAGCTGAAGCATTTAAAAAGGGAGAAAAATAAGGATACAGATGGACTCAGTTTTTGTATAGGCCTTATGGTCATTAGCATCATTATTGTCATTATTATGTAACCCATAAGGACAACAACAAAAATCCAGGCCTGCATACTCTTTCTGTAATATAATCTATTAGCTGGCTTAGAAAAGCCTATTTGATTTTAATTGGCATGCTCTGATTTTTGAAGGTATATTTAAGTGTCAATGAAAAGAGTCAAACTCTGTAAAACATTTAGAGCTTTATTCTGAACCAAATTTGAGTGAACCTGGCCCAAGGCACAGTGTCAAGAGTTCCAGAGAACATGTGCCCAAGGTGGTTGGGTTATAGGTTGATGTTATACATTTTAGAGAGACATAAGACACATCGGTGAATGCATATGAGGGATATATTGGTTTGGTCAAGTTATTATCTAAAGACCTAGAATCAATGGGAGAGTGACTGGGTTAAGATAGGAGGTTGTGGAAACCAAGGTTCTTATTATGCAGATGAAGTATCATAGGTGGCCACCTTAGAGGCAATAGTTGGCAAGTGTTTCCTATTCAAACCTTTAAAAGGTAGCTAAACTCTCAGTTAATCTCCTCAGGTTTGGGAGGGACTGGAAGGGGAAAGCTCTAGATGCAGATTTTCCCCCACAAAAGATGTCTTTGCAGGATCATTTCAAAACATGGTAAAGAAATATACTTTGGAGTTCCTTCTTTATCTGTCATATGTTTTTATGCCAGAATCAGATTAGCAATGAAGCGGCTACGTTGTCTGGGGTAAATACTAGGGGCTTGTCCCCTCATGTCAAGAAAATTTAGGACAGGGACACGCAGGAGGAGTTTAGGAGCAGAGGTTAAATAGGCAGAAGAGAGAGAAAGGAGGACAGCCCTCTCTCTCTGAGAAAGAGGACTTCCGAAAGGGAAAGACCACCAGAGTCGGATGCACGGGATTTTATAGGCAGCCTTGAGGAGGCTGATTTACTAGGGCCCACAGAATAGTTCCATCAGGTATGCCCTTTACACCCGGTGCAGCAAGGCTGGCCACCCAACCCTAATCTTATTATGCAAATGGACTTTCCACTCCACTGGCGCCATCTTGTCTGCTCCTTACTGTACATGTGGCTGCCAAAGAGAAAAGGGAAGATGGAGTGGCTGTTTTGAACATGATTGGCCCAGCTGTGGGCATCTATGTCTGCAGTTCAATTTTACAGACTGCTCTTTGTTAGAAAATGATTTTGGGGGGCTGCTTTTCATTAAAAAGGAAAACCTTACCGAGAACTCCTGTACCCTCACTGTCTGTCTAAGTAATTTCGTCTTAACTCCTATATCAGCGACTAACCCACATTACACAGGATTAAATAAACCCATCTGATGAGATTGTATGGTCTATAGGGCGTGATAGGAACTTGGACAGAGAGGAAAGGGTCCTAGTTTAGTCCTCATAAGGAAATTCAAACTCTTTTTTGTTTGAGACTGAGCCTCACTCTGTTGCCCAGGCTGGAGTGCAGTGGCATGATCTCAGCTCACTGCAAGCTCCGCCTCCCGGTTCGAGTGATTCTCCTGCCTCAGCCTCTCCAGTAGCTGGGACTACAGGCGGCCGCCACCATGCCTGGCTAATTTTTGTATTTTTAGTAGAGACGGCGTTTCACCATGTTGACCAGGCTGGTCACGAACTCCTGACCTCCAGTGCTCCGCCCCTCAGCCTCCCAAAGTGCTGTGATTACTGGCTTGATCCACCGCACCGGCCAAAACTTTTTTATATACAAGTACCTAGAAGAGAAGGAGCGGAAGGAGCAGTATGAAGTTTCTGATTAAGATCCAGCATTCCTATATAGAGAAGAATGAGGGCATTGTATGTTTAAGTGTGTGATTAGGAAAAGGACTTTTTCACACGTTTTCAAGCCTCTTCTATGTTAAAAAACTATTACCAGGAACACCATTTCATGCATAGATGTATTTCTCTTTATAGTAGAACTCTAGTCCAGATGTTCAGAGTCGAATTCAGCAAGAGCGTGTAATATTCACAGCAAGGCAGTGACATTTATATAACCTTTTCATTTTCTTTTGATGACACTTTTTGAATTCAAATCATTACATGTAGAAATATATAAGTTCAAATATGAATAAAGGAGTAATGGAGGGAAAAAGTGTGTTATGTGTGATTGCATGCAACATACACTCAGGAATATGAGTAATTGAGAATAATTGTAATCACGTGTATTATATTCGTCCATGATGAATATTTGTGAAAAGTACTGTGCTAGTCTTTTGTACAATTTTCCACTGAATGAAAAAGGCAGATAAATGATGGAACCATCTCTCAAACTGTAATGAAATGACTATAGAATGTAAAGGGTGGAAAAAAATGCCTGCTATCTGGAACTAATGACTTTATGTTGCACAATAGGGACTGCTTGTATATCCTGGAAAGTGCAGATTTTACATTACAGTAAATATTATTTGGGGTTATTGTTCTTATAAAATGGATTTATTTAACTCTAGAAAAGTAGTTTGGGAGGCAGAACAAGGACTTTTGGGGAATGTGTTGAAGATATCTAAGAACTTCTAAAGGGCATTTATGCTTACGTGTGTCTGAGAGACAGTCAGTGCAGCTAAGCAATGGTAGAATCTACCAGCAATAGTGTGGGCAGAGGGAGGAAACCCCAAACCTGAAACATAAAACAATGAATTGCTTCTCCCTGAAAAAGGAAGAATGGACGCAGGCTGGAAACTAGAGCTGGATGTCTAAAACAATTTGAGCCCTGTGAGGATTTCGGATCATCCAAAAACAAATAAAATAGGTTGTATTCAGGAAGTCATAAATCTATTATTTTTATGATAACAATTTCAGCCATTGTTAATTTAGGCTAAGAGAGTGGTGGTCATTTTAATTTAAAATCAAAATCATACACTTCTTTGCTATGCTCTGGAATTTTTTATTTTCTATTTTTCATCCCTTGGGGAATGGGTGAGTTTGTAAAGAGAGAATCTGGTGTATGTGTTCAGGAAGAAGGGGTGGGAACTACATGCATTTGCATCCACAGTTAGAAACTACATCCTTTACTATACTACACATGCATGCACACACACACACACACACACACACGCATATTTATGAAAAACTGTAAAGAGTTTATGAGTTTATATTGAGCTTCCCAGAACTTCCTTAACATGGGGAAATAAATAATACTTGTTCTTTCTAGAAATTCCTCTATATATTTGTTAATTTTTCCAATGTTTTGTGAGATTTCCGCTTTTTACATGTGGGCTTCTACTCTGAAATTGTATTCTTCACTTAGGCAGTATCTCAAACTTCAGTCTAAGTGCTGAGCCTTTATAACTTTAATTCTGACAATAACTTACTTCCAATATACTCTATAAAATCTCACATGCCTACTTTATTGGTTGGCTTCAGGAATGTTTCAGCTCTATCTGTCTTGAACTATCTGGGTATTCTTTCTCTTTGTATTCCCTGAAGTTTGATAACATGGGCAAACCATCGTCACTTCTTACCATATTGTTTTAATTTTTATTACTTGTCTCTATATCCAAAGTAGTTCAGAGACAACTATTTACAATGCCTAGCAACTTTCCTGTCACTTTGTTTAAAAAAAAAATTGTTGAATAACTAGAATGAATGAATAACTTTTAAAAGAGAGCCACTTTTGTTTCTTTCTTTTTGCTGAATGATCCATGGGTGTCTGGTTTATACCAGGGAAACTCTTCACAAGAATTGTGACAAATAAGCCTTTATCCCACCTCTCTGATCCAGCCCTGGATAAGGACCCACTGTTAAAAAAGAGGTGAAGGGCCTTCCTCATAAATCTCTTTTATTCTTATTATTATACTTTAAGTTCTGGGATACATGTGCAGAACGTGCAGGTTTACATAGGTATACACGTGCCATGGTGGTTTGCTGCACTCATCAACCCATCATCTACATTAGGTGTTTCTCCTAATGCTATCCCTCCCCTAGCCCCCAACCCCCCAACAGGCCCTGGTGTGTGATGTTCCCCTCCCCGTGTCCGTGTATTCTCATTGTTCACCTCCCACTCATGAGTGAGAACATGCAGTGTTTGGTTTTCTGTTCCTGTGTTATATCATTCTGTAACCACACAGCAGGTTCTCCTTGCCTATTGCCCAGACAGAGCTGATTTATCAAGACAGGGGAATTGCAATAGATAAACAATTTAAGCCACATAAAGCTGGCTGTACAAAAGATCAGAGTTTCATTATTACTCAAATCAGTCTCCCTAAAAATTCAGGG